GGGTATGCATCCAATGCTAATTTACCTCTAAGACATGCATGATTGTTCTTTACTGATGATTACTGTACTTTTATTTTTACTAAATATTTACATATTACATACTGCAGACAATACTGTTATTATGCAAGATATCATAATTCTTTCAGCTCCATGCATTTGAACCAAACTCTTCAATTAGTTTAAATTCGTTTCCTTGCATGTACTGTACACTCAATTTTGATCATTTTTATGAGCGACCACTCAATTGGAATATAGCATGAATTACTTCGGCAGAATTTCGATCTTAATGGACATAAATGCCACATTTCAAGGATTCTGTTTAATAGTAGTCATAACCCAAATATTTAGTTCAACCATATCAGTAATCGTTCTAACTCGGCGCCTAATTGGCTTTTATGTCATTTATCCGTGGGGAATCCTATTAAATAAACTTGATAATTTTTACCTTGAGAACTATTCAAGTTAATGCACTAAAACGTATGTCTCTCCATTTTTGTACCTTTTAAGGGCTGATATCATAATCGTTTGTTGAATTCGTGAAATAACGCTGTGATCCTTGACCACATGCTCATTTATGGAGAATGAGGCTCATGTCGATGTATTTTTTTTTTTTCACTTGAAAATACCAACCGTATAATTACATAGAAAAGTGCATGACTTCATCAAAATGTATATATACATCATGCAAGTTCCACAAATTATCCTCGTAGCACATGAGCATTTAAGACAACTTAGGACTTGAAACAGGCCGATTCAAAAACAGTTGTCGGCCTCTTTTGAGAGGCCGTATTTTTCATTGTTGAGGGGTAAATGAGTTAAATTTAAAAGTAGTTTATCTTTACACAAATGTATTCGTTAAAACTGCAGGTGACCGCCAAAGGTGGAATTCTAAGTATTCTTAGCATTTAAAATTCTATAATTTGTAGGGAATTTGTCAAAACAGATTACTATCATGAAATGGTTCATTCAGTTGGGGTATTTTGTTTTTATCTATGGATGTTTGGAGAATTTTTGATGGCCTTTGTCACATCCAGCTATCCCTGTTCGTAGGACTGACTGTACTTGATCTTGATCTACGCCCGTTAAGAAGAACATACTTGGTTTCAGTCACATTGGTCGATTTAATGTCACTCTTGCACCGGGTCTTGCACCCATCCTACCAAGGTCTACTTTTATAAGTTGGATAAAGCCACCAGCCGGGTCGGCAATATGATGCACCAGACCAGTAACTAATCCAGTTTTAAACGGATCTGAACTTCCGATCCTTTCTGAAACGTTAAATAATAACGTAGCTTACGGAAATCCACAAGTAAAAAACCCCAAGCTGAATTCAAAGGTGGTCGCCTGTGTTGGTGGCGCTGCAGGCCCCATTAGTATGACAGAAACTGTTTACCATGTGGTTACCAAACCCTTACGTATCAAAATCATTTAAAAATAATTATTGGATGGTAAGATAATCCAATCAAGCCAAATGGTATTGCTACCGACGTGGAAATCTAGAACTTCTAAATTCAACAGCGTTCCTGTGGATGCCAGTGTTTATGTTCAATATATCCAGAAGACACTAGTCACACCTTCACAACACAGTGGGTCACCTACATTGGAATAACAATTTCACTAGTTTTTCAGCCATATCTTTGGTCTAGTGCTATTACTATGATAGCACACATTGCAAAGATATGCCCATTACGGTAGCAAGCGGCGGTGAAAATATCCTTGTCATTATCAAGAAGAGCCTGAGTTGCAGCATCAATGCCATTATCACGGACTGCTCCAACATACACCAGAGATACAACCTTACAAGGCTGACATAGTGCTTCTTTCATTATCTCAACCCTTCGTCTGACCAACTCACTTACATTCTTTCCAAGTTTGTCACACACTTCGCGTTYGTATTCTGTCACGTTTTCAAACTGAAGAGTTAAGGTCTCGAGGATAATGTCTCTGATACAGGCAATTTCTTTGTCTATTGAATTATTACAGCTTGTACTTGATGATTTTTTCAGAGAAAGAAATGGCGAGCTGTCGACACTTAGCCTTGCTGTAATGCTTGATCCACTTTGCTGGCTTTGAACACTGCTGGTAGAGGAATCGGAGCTCAGATCTGGAAAAATAGCATCTTCAGTGTAGCCCAGTGGCAGTCCTGATGGGCCATGGATCAGAGATGATATCGTTGGGCATGAGATTTTTCGAGATTTGCTTTGCTTATCCTCCGATCTGGAGTTAAAATGGAATTGTGAAAAGAGAGAAATTTTCCTCGTTCGCTTTGAAGGCTTAGGGGAATTCTTTCTCCACTTCTCTCCTTTTTCTCCTTTTTCTGAGCCTCTTTTATCAGAGCAAGAACAAAATCCTGAACTACCAAGTGTTGGACTACGCGGTGATGGAAGCGGTGAGATATCCTTCTCGTGGCCAGAATGGAATTGTATGGGATCTGAAACCATTCTTTCCTGTGTCGAATAACAATATATAACATGTGGTCCTGTTTCTCCCATGCTATTCTGTCACAGACAATCTACTCAAAAACCCTGATGAAACAATTTCTGTAAAATTATGAGCTAATGCGTTCAATGCTTGATACTCTAAATGAATCTGATATCTAGTCGCCCGTGAGTTCGTATTTAAGAGAGTGCACGCTGACAGTCAAATATACTAAATTCCCAGAGCATTGTCATTTACCTGTTTATCAGTCACTTAATCTGACTCCTGACATTCCTTGAGTTGTTGTACGACCTTCTGCACGTTCAATGACTATATCTCCACATATTAGTTTATGTGCACCAGCTTGAGTCGGACCGTTTAACCAAAGCAGGTATTCGCGTGCGACTTGTCTGGCGGTGAAGGTTATATTAACACATGAGRATTAACGATTCCATATGTTTTGACTTGTAGTAAACTCACGCTGGGATGCCTATAAAGACGACACTAAATTCTGTTCCTTCTGTTTTGTTCTTCCTGATATTGATACACTCAATAATTCCGTCCTGAAGTTGTACCAGATTTCTTGCAATAAAGGCGCCTAAGACTTATTAAAGACAAAGCTCATGAAATTGATAATTATAAGAATATTCTAAACACGATAGATAGCGAACTTATCACCTAAGAATCACTTATGTCCCTTGATGCTAATTCGTCAATTTGACGAAACAATAGACGAATTTGAAGAGGCTTAACCATGACTTTGAAATGGGCACAATTAATTCGGACAAACTGCAAATTTGAAGGATTTAAGGAATGAACATTGATTCCATCACGACAAAGCATAAAAGTTGCCGCGCGCTATGACCTTCATAAAACAATGTTTGTCGTAATGTTGGTGGTATGGCCGCCATGTATAACTATCCATGCAATTACTAGTCCATGTTTGTACAGGTCCAACACCCTTGTAATTAACTTTATTTACTTTGAAGCAAACGGGATATTTTTGKGTTTGAATTGAAATAAACGACCTGTTTTTTTTCGTTTTGTTTGAAGGATTATGACTTTGGCCTTTTGATTGACGCACCTTAAGTTTGTTTATACAAACTGTTATTCTGATCTATAATGAAGACCGTGTTCATAATTATAATAGCTGGCAAACTGATAAAATGACTGACTGTAGTATTCTATGAATCATAAGGCCTTTCGTGCTTACAACAGTTTGTTTATATATTTTTTGTTCTGCACTCTTTGATCATCTGATAAAAGCACCATTAAAAACGTCTTAGTCTAGATCTTAGAGATCTAAGCCATAAAAGTAAGCCGACTGGTAAGGAAACGGCAGATAATAGAGGTCATGGCTCCAACAAATTGATTGCTTTGATTGTCACTTGACTTGGGCAGGGGGAAGTAAAGGAGATGGGCTACAGGGGCTTATCTCTCTCTCCCTCCCTATAAACCTCTAAATTTTACATTTTATCACGCTCTGTCTCGACCCCCTCCCCCTCCCCCCTCCCCGACCCCTTCTACTCGTCATCGTAGTCCCCCCACATCCCTTAATTCCTCCTTCTCGATATCTGAAGACCGTGTTCTGCGGTCCCCATCACTGATCCCCATCGTTTTCTAAGTACTGTTTAAAAGACGAGCCGGAGTGTTTTATCGGGTRTAAAACACGAGGCGCAGCCGAGTGGTTTTAGACCCGATAAAACACGGTCTGCGAGTTTATTAAACGGCTTAGGAAACTGATGATGTTGCTTTCATATTGTACAGAATACTTTACGAAATGAACCAAGTTTGATAGAGAAAATCCAAGTTAAAATTAATGCAAATGAAGACGAATCTATATCAGATATAAAATCACCTTCATTGCCATGATTCCTATTGTGTTTCCTTCATGAATTATTAATGCGTTTTCTAATTACATATTCAAGCAATTTATTGGCAATCGCTTGGGAGTCTCTGGAGTTATGCAAGGTGCACAGGTATACTAAACAAAATGACGGTTTATCATAGTTTATATCCCCAACCCCCACCCTATGTAGGGTTTAAACTCAACTTGTAAAGGAAATTCGTAATGCATGTCTCGCATTCCACTTTAGTTACCTCACTTCCAATTGCTGCGAGCCATGAGGCGAGCAAGAATTATCTTTACAATTGGGATCCCTGTGTGGTATCTCGATGTGTGGTTGTCGAGATGATTTTCGGAGTATGCAGTATGTTTGTTCAGCGGGTTTTATCATAAATTTGTGTGACGTTAAAAGCACGTTGCTCGATTTGGTGTTTACCCAGGTTCGCTTTTTAAAGATAAAATAAGCCATCTTTTTCGAATTCTAATTATGTCAAACACGAACTTTTTTATTGCTGGAAGCATTCATCAAGGTCATGAACGATTTAATAACATTTTACGGGGAAGACTAAGTTCTTTTATGAGTTTTTCAGCGCTGTTATAAGGCTCAGACTTTGCCAATCGAACACTGGACTGCCGCCACAGTAGATAAGATCTTTACGGAAGGAGACACCATGTACTTGAGTGCACTTAAAATACAAACCATCCGGATACCGAGAGGTTGTCACTCTATTTTCTGCCTGACAGAGCTCGCTGGTCCTCGCGCGCCTATTCGAGGCAAACGAAACAAAACAGTCGGCCATTGACGCACGTAATATACTGATATCACACCGATTGCCCACTGAGGCAAAAAATAATCAATCATCTATTATAGTAACAAATGCTGATCTACCTATTTTGGTAGAGCCCAGCGAGGCACAAAACAAAACAAATGACTTTGCAAGAATCCCTCTGGGGGCACTGACAATCGAGTTTTCCCTTTCTAACACTAGCTTAAAGAAGTAGAACGTCCCTAACCTTCTAGGATAGGGACTTTGCAAGAATCCCTCTGGGTGCACTGACAACCGAGTTTTCCCCTTTAAACTAGCTGAAAGAAGTAGAATTTTCTAATCTTCAAGGATAGGGACTTTGCAAGAAATCCTGTGCTTTCTGAGTTTTCAGAATATCGAGTATTAGGATTCCTGTGGACGTGGGAAGCTCAATCTCCGCACACTCGGCTCTAATTTCCAGGCGTCCACAGGAATCCTAAACTTGATATTCCGAAAAGTTCGTCTCTACTGAGTCTGGAGGGGAAAGTGGAACCGCTCGCCGTCTAAAGAAACCCTGTTCGTTTTGAATGCGAGGTTATAAAAATGAGAGTAATCATGTTCTGACCTTGATCTGGCTCAAAGCTATTTTGAATATTTATAAAACGCAAAGGACGCGCCCGCATGCCAGCAGGTGAACGGTACAGATTGACTGACTCTGGAAGAGACCCGATTTCATTGCCAACCCTTATTTGGTTGACCGCGCGAATTTTCGCAATTGAACCCGGGGGGAGGGGAGGGGGGTGGTACTCCCCTATATTTGCTATACGGGTATGTGCCGCCCTTATAGGGTATGGTTTTTCGGCTTTTGGGTCTGGGGTAGGGTATCATTTTTTGACATTTTGTCTGGGATAGGGTATCATTTTAGTCTGGGATAGGGTTAACGATTTGGTCATTTTTGTCTGGCGAATAGGCTACGCTTTCTGCCGGCACAAAAACAATAAAAACGTTAGTAAATATTGATTGCAATCGATTGTAAGACCGTATTTTCCGTCTTTTAGTCTGGGATAGGGTGTACAATTCTTAGTTTTAGTCTGGGGTAGGGTATGTAAAATCGAAATTTTTGGTCTGGGATAGGGTCAGGGTTTTGAGGTCCTGGCGGCACACCCCTACCCAAGTTGGGTTGGAGAAACCCCCCC